CTTTCGCTCTTGTTAGAGTGAATAGGTAGTACATATCCACTGGCCTATTCAGGGTATCAACCCCGGACTTCATTGCTGGAAGGACCCCTCTGTATGTGTTTGTGTGTTATCACTGTGCCAAATAACTTATACCGGGACAGACCCCAATTAGCGACTCAAGTGTGCTCAAATGTCAGTCTCAGTGACAGGTAATCAGTCATTTAGGACTGACAGTGAGGAATGTATCGTTTGCTGGTTGAATTAAGGATCCTTCTTGAAGGTGACGCTCCTGTCAATGTTTTTTATACCAAACACGATTTGGTGCATCACTTGACCAAAAAACCCCTAGTTATCAGAGGAAGAATAACTGTCTAACAAAAACCGTAATGCAGTCGTAGTGGTATTGGTACCAGGTGATTCATCAAAGTAAAAACACACGGCTGGGTAGCATTTCAGCTGCGGTTCAGTTGCACTTTTACCCGACAAAACTGTGCCAAATGACAATGGGTGATCACACCTCACAGGCCAGTGCACACACCCTCCTGAATCGTTTGTGTGTTTGTGGTGGGGAAAGCTGGCCGCTTTGTGTTGAACTCACGTAAAAACTGCTCGTGAAAAACAAGTCCCAGTTGTAAGATAGACTTACCGGACGATGACAAAACACATTTGGTCTGGTTGAACGCGCTTTGGGTCAAATGAGAAGAATTTAAACACCTCGATCTACTAAGGGGAAAACCGACCGCTTTGACCGTGAAACCATGCAAAGAGCGTTTTCTTCAAACCAGATCGAACAAAGGTGGAACAAACAGTTTAAAGAAGAATCCAGTGACTATGGGGCAGCTGATGCATGATGTGAAATCGTGTTTGCGAACATCGGGCTCGGTTCAGAGAAAAACACGTGTTGCCGTTTTGTGCCTCCATAGTGGATGAACACTAAATAATCAAATCAATCTGGCACAGTTCCACCTCTGCCGATCCATTTTTGTCAAGCCAGGTTCTCATAGCCTTCGAATAATGGGCAGCACACTCACCTTACTGTAAGTAAACCCTTTGCCTTCGCTTTTGGTCCAGTGATTAAATATAATGTGTGATGAGCGTTTAAAGCATGGTGGGTAATGGATCCCAATAACTGAGGCATCAAAGCAATATGGACCTAAGAACGTCATGTTATGCATCCCAAACCAAACACGAATTTCGGGATTGGTACTGTAGTGTGTTTCTGTTGTAGCGTGTGGGTTCTTTTGTGCCCGATCCCGAAAGTATAAAACGACTTCGCAGATAACGCCGTTTCATTGTTTCGCAGTTAAAGCGGTCAGTTTTTCCCCTTAGCAGATCGAGGTGTTTAAATTCTCCTCATTTGACCCAAAGCGCGTTCAACCAGACCAAATGTGTTTTGTCATCGTCCGGTAAGTCTATCTTACAACTGGGACTTGTTTTTCACGAGCAGTTTTTACGTGAGTTCAACACAAAGCGGCCAGCTTTCCCCACCACAAACACACAAACGATTCAGGAGGGTGTGTGCACTGGCCTGTGAGGTGTGATCACCCATTGTCATTTGGCACAGTTTTGTCGGGTAAAAGTGCAACTGAACCGCAGCTAAAATTCTACTCACCAATGTTTTCGTCTTAGTGAATTACCTGGTAGCACAATAATCCGTATAAAAGGTGAGCGTTCCATGATTTGTTTATTGGTGGAACACCAACAGGTTGACCGGGCCAACGGAGTCTTTGATTAGCTCGACACAAGGTAACGGATCACTGTGCCAAACCGCACGTCGCCTTTTGGACAGGGTAGAACGTCTAAGTTGCCCAGTTTTATCACAACCGGGAAGGTGTGGATGTAACTGGTTCATACGTCCCTTCTTATTTCGTTTGGGATCGGGGTTTCCAGCCAACTCCCCTAGGGGAACTGCCAAAGTTTCATCCACCGGGTTATAACCCCATATGTTGGCTTTTCGTTCTCTCACTTGAGTTCGAATACACCTCCGCTACAAGGGACAGTGAGTGGGAGTTCCTCGACAGAGGCTGTTGAGGTTTGTGAAAATCGCCAATCCAAACCGATCAATACAGGGTAGAGAATTTCGCGATACATGGTGTGATCCTTTCTCGTATCGCTAGGAGGTGCATTGGTACAAATTATAGCGGGTTTCCAGTGAAAGATTAGCGTTTGCGCTATCCATAGGGATCGAATTGTATACCACAAAGTTCTTCAAAATCTTTTCCCAAAACAGCATTTGTGTGAACCCCCAAATTCTGAGAATACCCTCTTTTCTGTCGAATATCTAACTCGAAATATCTCTCCAGATTTCGTACCTTGGAATGATTCGTAAATCTAATTCTTACCCGTTTAGTTCCTTTTTGCCAATTAGCATGTAACCCGACTCTCCTGTGTCACATGCGATTGTGATCGGGTTTCACTTGTATGATAATTCTCTGTTTCCACTTCTGCTCAGCGTTCGACCTTCTCCTTCACGGATTCTCAATGCCTTTACTCCCTGATTTGTTAATCTCAGGAAACCGCAGTAGAAGAGCTGGATCGCAGTACTGAACTGTCAGATACACGAGATCGGTTGACCGGATTAGTCACGGAACGACGAGAGATTGATCGCGCTCTGAATACTGTCGAGTATGTGCCCCGTCTATGACTTGCTCCCCAGAGTAACAACAAATCGGACAAAATGCGTTCTTGCGTCAGGGCGCTTTTCATCGGGTTTTGCTAACCGTAATTTTTCCCGTCTATCGTTATGCCTAATTGGTTTAAATTTGCGCAACTCACGTGACTACAGACCCCATCCCTTAGTTGTTACTATATTTTAATAGATGAATCTGTCGATAAATTATGAACTCAATGCTTTTTGAGATAAATCCATTCAACTACTCCGAACCTATTGTTGTGTCCTTCAAAAAAAGAATCCCGGCAAACCTGTTCACTTCAAAAATACATTCTCTGTGCGTATTTCCTGGTGATGATAAGTGTTAATTCTGTTCCATGTAACTTTCATTAGTTCTGCTGTCATCTCTGAACCCCGTCTTAGTGACACATCTACAGCCGTATTACCAAAAAATTTATCCGACATGGATACTATGATCATCTCAGGTGTCGGATTCCCCTCCTCCTTCTTTTCATTCGCCTTACCTTTTACCCTGTTTCGACTTATCTTTCGTGAAAAACCGTAAATCGCGATTCAGGATCATTCTGAATGCTTTGAAAACCGTTTTGTCCTCATTATTTTGAGCAGAATACTGAACTGGTTAGTTTTGTGTAATTTATCCGACACGAGTTCCATTTCGCTTGTTTTCTTCTGTGCTCAATTGTATTGGAATGTTACCTATTTTATCTTGCATCCCATGTTCCAATCACAATGGTGATAGCTAAACAAGACCGAAGCAGGTTCTCATTGCCTTCAAACGTTTTGATTCATTTCGATGAGCTTTCTGGGAGATGAATTTCGTTTTACGATTGTCTTTATTTCACATACTCGGTTAATTTGGTTTTCCCGGTTGTTCTTTTACTCTCAGTGAAAAAATAACGATATATCAGCAAAACGCGGACAAAAAACGAGAATTTCAGGGTTTACGAAAGGAACGCCAAACCAAGTTAGAGAATGCTCGTAAACTGTGAGTCGATGTTATACCGTTTTGACTTCTTGTTTGCTCCCGTTTGCTGTTTGGTTTTTCAATCCCCTGTCCGATCACTTGATTTTTGAATATTTTTCCCTCATGCACCGTCGTTTTCATCCTCGTGAATTGTATGATGAGTTTGTTGAGGTCGATAGCATCCTATCCACAAACTAAATGTGAAATCATATCTATAATTCCTTACGAAGTGAACTAAATCTTAATCATGGGATACTCAACTATGGTTGTTTTGTAGCCAATTAAGCTCCGGATGGAATAAGTTAGATAAAAGCTGAGATAGTGTAGTAGAAGGTGATGAATGCATTGAGAGGGAAAACAATCAGTTGGGTTTGGAATGGATTCCTTGCAACCAGCCAAGTGGACATTTTGTTGCAGACTATGTTCAAAACAACCCGAGGCAACAACCGCATCTAAGCGTTCAACATGTGGCTGACCGTAAATAACGTTCGTATTATCACTCAGCTATAGAGCTATCGATTTATCATTCTCAGTAGCACAAGAAATATGAAGCGTGTCCCTCAAACCTTCTAGCGCGGTACGCGTGCACAAACTAGACATACCGATGAGGCGATCGGCATTCGCTTTTTCGCACGCGAACTATGCCCATAAAAAAATGACTCGCCCAAGCTCTCCGGTTACTCTGCCCCCAAATTCAATGACAACATCACAGCCATCATCCCCACTACCCTCCAATCACAATCAATTTCACCGAAACACAGACACGTAGCCATCTGATGCTGCACTCATCCCCGACTCCTCATCACGTATGACTTTCTGACTGAACAGGACTATATTCCAACAAACAACAAAACCCTTTGTTTGATCTGTACAGGCGGGATTGTGAATCACTCGGACACAATTTGTATTTGTATATCTTGTGCTTACATTTCAATCAAAAATTATTCGTTTTCGAGATAGTGTTCTATTAAAAAACGGGACGCTCATCAAAGTCCACCTGAAAGTGACGGAGAAAACCCAACAGCATTAATTCTGCGTCGCCATGTTGTGCGTTTGAGAATGAGCTGTATGTAGTCGAACTCTCATGTGGCTAAGGTTTGGATGTGATCAATGCACGTTTGTTCACCATCTGCTCTCCTCTATTACGATACGTTGTGCATACTTCATCAATGGTAACTCTCAATAGACCATTGGAATCATCAATGGAGATTTCGCCCAGTTTTCATCTAATACCTATTCATTATACACGCACATCTAGGTCGGGAGATTGGCTTCACCACAAAGTTCATAATTAAACACAACAGTGATTGCTCCCCAACATGTTTGGGTTGACATGGGTTGCGATTGCCACGAAATGCCTGAACGATCTACGACTTCCTATACTTATTTCCACCCATAGGAGTACACACACACATAATTTCCCAATTAAGTTTCTATCTCATCGGGTTAGTTTTCTTGCTGTTCGTGGACTGCTACTATCACACACGGAAAACTGTACCAGAGTTGTTGATGCGAAAGAAATAATTGATTGTGTAACACTGTTATGCACTATCATTTTTACGGAATATGTGCATATCAATTTGATCGGCCCGACTTTGAGGCTGATTGAAAGTCGATAATTGTCAATCGCACTTGTTTTGACACTCAGTGCTGGAGAGTGTCCCATCGACGATCACTGGGCCAACGTCGCAGCGGATTTCAATAACTGGTCTCAGACCAGTTCCTCAGTGTTGGACTGTGCCTTGCAGTTCAGTTCTGTTATCCAATTTTCATGTCCCACCCCGACTTGGATAGATGACGGCCATGTGCTCCTCATGGTTCGAGACTGGTGTATGAAGTTGTTCACTTTAAGGATTTCTTTCTTTTGTAGACAGCCATTTCCTTCCTATGATCGAACGTTTTGTGTGACGGTTGTTGAGATTAGCAGTTCGGTCCTTGTCGGGACTCGTTATCAGCGCGTATCTCTTTCTCCCTGTCCAATAGGTGTACCTTCCACCCCTAAATGAAATGGGAACGAAGACAATTCCAGTGTGTGTGTGTGTACATGGGGAAATTGTGGTTTGTAACTAGGA